ACAAAACAGACAAAGATGGGATTCAAAATTTGTTTGCTCGCAATTTGTTATAGGTAGAGTTCAACAATGGTTAAGTGAGATTCCAAGCCCGAAAGAATTTGAAAAAAAATAATACTAATGCTCAACATATGTCCTTGAATTGCTTAGGTATTCAAATTCGGGACATCAGATCTAGGAAGTCTCACCTTGTTTATGTTTTGCATCCTTCTTATGACTATTTTAAGCTGAATGTGGATGGAGCTTCCCATGGAAATCCGAGTTTTAGCGGAGGAGATGGTGTCATCAAAAATGATAGTGGTAAATTTGTTGCTAGCTTTTCTGCCTTCTTTGGTGAGATGAGCAATCTGCAAGCTGAGGCATTGACTCATAAACATGGTCTTGCCTTGGCTCACTCTTTGAATATAACAAAGCTTCACACCTATTCAGATTCTCAATCCCTCATCAGGATCTTAAAAGGTGAATTGGAACCTCCTCATTATCTTTGGTACTTGCAGATCAACATTTCTGATTTTTTACACTATACAGATGTTGGATTCTTCCATAATTACATAGAAGGTAATCAACCTACTGATGCTTTGGAAAATTTTGCATGTGACTCCTTACGTGCATCCTTTTTTGATACAGTGGATAATTTACCCAATCACATTCCTCCTATCTTGAATGTTGATAATATTTGTCTTCCTTTATATTCGTTTTTCTTAGTATTCTAATGAGTATAGGTCCAGGACAGGTTAATTTTATAGATTTTATGAGTTGGGCCTATTTTGTATATAGCTTTTCAGAGGGATAAGGTATTTACGTCCCCCCTCATAGGCTTTTTTCTTCTCAATTAATAAAATTTCGGTGGCCACCCCTCCACGGGGAGTAAATTTTGGGGTTTAAAAAAAAGCAAGTTTTGAAGATAGGTCAATATGATTGAGGAGGCATCATCATCATTAAACACATGTAGATCTTTGATCCCCATGTGTTTGAGGGGGTGTGTTAGGGAATTGAGATAAGTTTGGGTTGTTATGTTAGGATAAATATAAGAGAGAAATTAAAGATTAGGTAGAGTTTCAATTGAGATAGAATTCTCAATCTATAAATATCATATAATCTTCATAGTTAATCAATGCATTCTTTCAAGCCTTCTCTAAAATCTAATAATATATCATTAGAACTTCAGAAGTGTTAGATGAATCATCTCCTTGTATGGGTCGAGATTGATCTTACCAATCCATTGGTGCAGAGGGTGCCTATGAATAGACGGGATCAGAGTGCTCTGTGGTTTAATTTGAAGTACAAAAGGCTGCCCCTCCTTTGCTACTTTTGTGGCCGCACTGGTCATGATGAGAAGATTTGTGTTGTGAAATTTCAAAGCAATAATACTAGTAGTGTGGATGAGGGTGGTGATTCAAGGTATCCTCTTGGGTCATTGCTTCATGTTGATGCTAATAAACCTAGTCCTTGATATTTCTAGGTTTCTCGAGATGCAAAGTTTGAAGTTTAGGTAGCAAACTTGGTGTTAGTGTGATGGGAACTAGATAGTGGTCCAAGTCAAACTGGGTCCATCATAACTTGTGTAACTGAATCTATGCGGTGTGGGGGAGTGGATGCTAGTTCTAACAATAACAGGGGCTCAACATATGTTTATACATAGCCTTCTAGTCTGGCCCATTTGAAGAAGTCTTCAAAGAAAAGAAAAGCAGTGCATTATGATGGTGTGGATTTAGATGGGCCTATAGTGCCACTAAGTCCTATTGGTGTTTCTAAAAGGGCTTCGGGGTTTGTCCCAAAAACAACCCCACTTTGATCCATGAAGCAACTTGCTTAGAATTGTGGACTTATTGATATTGGTTTTGTTGGTAGTCCATACACTTGGTCCAATATATGGTAGAGTTGGTGGAGCTAATGTAAGGGAAAGGCGGGACTATGCCTTGGTCACTACTCATTGGCATGAATTACTTCCTCACTTCCTCGTTACAACATCTTCCAGCCATTATTGAATTGGATTATTGTCCATTATTACTAGATACTCATGGTGATATTAGACCATGTTGGTCCCACTTCAACTTTGAGGCTATGTGGCTATGCCATAGTGGGTGTAAAACTCTGGTACGAGATGTATGGATTTTAGGAGGAGGTAGAGGGAAGGGTAAGTTTAAAGGTTAGGAATGTATGAAGACAACTTAGAAAATGGAATAGGGAGGTCTATGAGAACATTTTCCAACAGATGCAACAATTTCTCAGGGAGATTGATTACTTACAAGAGAAAACTCTTCACTTAAAATTGAAGGAGATATAGGCACATTAAGAGTTATTTTGGTTGTAGAGATCAAGGGAGAGGTATGGCTACGTGAGGGTGATCCAATAGATTTTTCCAACTATCTACTATTCAACACTACCACAGAAAAGCCATTGATGGACTAAGGAAAGAAGATGGTTCATGGACAATGGATGTTAATGAGATTCAGTCTATGTTTGTAGAGTATTGAAAAGATTTGTTTCAATGTTCAAATCATGTTGTTTTAGAGGAGTTATTTCACTTAATTAACCTAGCAGCCACGATGGATGACAACAATGCACTTTGCAAGCTATTGTGAAATAGTTGGACTATTGAGCCTATATAAAGCCTTGAGCTGGATGGTATGTCAGCTGTTTTTTAGCAACACATATTTGGCCAATTATTTGTGATGATATGACTTTTTGTGGGTGAAAATATCAATGTTGATATATGCAAAACCAACATTGTTTTAATACCTAAAGTAGTTCATTCACAATTTGCCACTCATTTTAGGCCCATTAGTCTTTGCAATGTGGTTTACAAAATATTTGCTAATAGGCTAAAGCCTCTTTTACAAAAAATCATCTCCCCATGGTAAGTTGCATTTGTCCCAGGTAGACAATTTCTTGATAATGTAGGGTTAGCCCATGAGCTTTTTGGTTTTATAAAAAAAAGGGACACAAATACTTCTTTACTCTTAAAATGGATGTGGAGAAAAGCATATAACAAGATGGAGTGGTGTTTCCTTAAAAAAAATATTCTTTCTTTGGGTTTTAATGGGTAATGGACCACCCTTGTAATGAAGTGTGTTAGTTCTCCTATGTTTACTATTCTTGTGAATTGGGATAGTACTGATACCTTCTTACCTAATAGGGGTTTAAGACAAGGCGATTCCCTATCTCCGTATTTATCCATTCTTTGTATGAATGTCCTCTCTTTGCTACTAAATAAGTTAGTAACAGATGGTAAATTATCTGGTATTAAAATTGCAAGGGGTTGCCTTAATACTTCTCACATTATGTTTACAGATGATCTTGTAATATTTGGGAAGGCTTCAATCAATGAATTGGCTACTGTGAAAGACACTCTTGAGTTATTTGGTGCTAACTCAGGCAACAATTAGTTAGATTTCACAAATCATGCATCTATGTTAGTAGCAATGTGCACCATCATACTCAAGTTTATGAAGGTTAAATTGTTACCTTAGCATGAAAAATATTTGGGGGCACCCTTTTTCATTGTTAAATCCAAGACAACAACTAGTAGTTAACAATGTCATTCAATGTATCAAGGAGTGACTCTCTTCTTGGACGTGCTATACTTTGTTTGGCATGTCCTTTTTGCCTTACTTATTTGATGTTGGTGTTGGCTATGCCTATTTTTTCTCTTAGTGAAATTGAAAAGCATATGAGTGGTTTTTTATGGAGTCGTGGTTCGGGTAAGACTCTCCATTCTACTATATGTTGGAACAAGGTTTGTCTTCCTCATTGGACTAGTGGATTAGGCATTCGCCATATAAAGTTGTTCAATGATGCACTTTTAGCAAAGGTGGGCTGGCATCTCTTGACTAGCAAAAACTCATTTTGGGTGTCCATTTTGAAATCCAAACATTTCCCTCATGAATCCTTTTGGGGTGCTATTCCCAAGAGTAATGATTGTTGGCTATGGAAGTGTATCTGCAACATTTGATATGTTCTTTTGATGGGGTTCTGTAAGATTATGTTTGGTTTGAAGGAAAAGATAGAGAAACCTATATAAGATTTGTGAAGGTTTTCCTAACTTTTCTTTCTTTTTCCTACTTTTTCCTTCAAACCAAACATAGCTTGAAGGGATTGGAACAGGATCTTCTGTGAGTATATGGGGGACCCATGGGTCCCATCATTGTTGCCATGTACACCCCTTGATGTTCTACTTTTGTTTTTTAATCAATGACTTTCTTTATGCAACAAAAAAATCAACCATATAAAACACCTATACCAGCAACAATTCCATAGGTCTTTTACTGGCTAGTGGCATGTGGCTTTGACTTACCTTGTTTCTCTCATTGATGGTTGTTTGGTCTAAAGCGGATCTAACAAACAATAGAAGGATCTTGCTCTGTTCTATGCATCACTCAGTATAGCAACATAATATAACCAAAATCTCCATGCTTTTCAATGTTAGATTTCTTCTCATTTTTGCCATCCGGCCCGGTCCGATTTTGGTCCGACCATCCGGTCTGATCCGATTTTGAAAACCATGCCTTATATAGTTGAAATTCTTCAAGTTGTTTTGAGCCTTAGATGTATACTAGCTCATTTTTTTTTAATTTTTATTACCTTTTATTTTCATTTACACATTGGATCCAAATCCATCTGCAGGTTGGAGAACACCCCAAGTATTCCCCAAATGGTTTGGCTTCTGACATGGACCGAAAGATTGGGCTAGGTTTTTTTTTGTTCGAATCTAAATCTAAATGGGCCTAGCCCAAGCCCAAACCCAATATAGCGTATTCTCTCTCTCTCTCTCTCTCTCTCTCTCTCTTCGCTAACCGTGGATCCACTCACTCACGAACTCTCTGATCGATATGTTCCCAGCTAGGCAGTTCCTACAACGAGTTTGGTTAATTGTTAATGTTCTGCTAATCAGACTCTTCGTCACCTAAACATCCATTCTTTGGTTCTCTGGTCTCTGTTTTACGCGTTACAGCAGTTGAAAGCACGTTCAAGTAAGAATCTATTTTCTCCACCCTCTAATTTTAAGACTTTGAATGGTATATGAGATTTGAATTACTTGAGTTGCGAAGGATCCTGTTGTAGCACTTTTTGAAACAGAGATTTGAGTTGCCCAAATTATGTAGCATAGCAAAGCATGCAGTCCATAATTCTTTGGTTTTATTTTGATTTTCTGAATGCCTGTGCTTATTTGTTTCATAGTTGATCTGTTTTTTCTTGGTGTTTTTTTAGGTGGATTCATATTGAACTAGTAGGAAGGTCTGTTATGAATTCAGATTTTTTTTGTGGGTTTGTTTTGAACCTATCGTTATTTATGGGTGGTTTTGGCCTGATATTTGTCGGTGGGTTTTCACCTTTCAGAGTCTAGAGCATTTCACGCAGAAAGGTTGTGGGTTAGGTTTGCCTTCTTTATCTGGAATAACATTCATGTCGTTTTTCTGGGTTTTAAGCGATTGGGTTTGGGAAATTTGGCATAGGGTTTTGATGGACTAGGTTTTGGCTTTGGTTTTGACCCATAAAAGAATGCGTAAAGTCGTAGATCATTTGGTGATCATATTATTGTAGTACTTCCTTTTTAAATCAATGAATTTTGGGTTTCTTTTTATTTCTTCTTTTTATAATGAATGATTTGTTTAGAATTGAATGGAGTGATTATTTTATGGGAGGGATAACAAATAGAAAGGATGAGTAGAAAACAAGTAGTAAAGCAATGGGGAAGCAGTAAAAAATAGAAGAGGGAAAGAAACCTCTACTAAACCAGTTTTTCCACTCTAATTATTGATTCTTTTTTCTTAAGTTTCTTCTATGGTTTCTTGGTCTTAATTAAATTTGGTGGTCTCTTTGCTATGATTGGATTGTGGTTTAGGTGTGATAATATTGTACTGCAAACATACTAAGGCAGTTTCCATCTGAAGCTTCTGATGAGTAGGCAATATATGGTATATGGTATATGGTAGGCTTGTGAGTTGTGAGCTGAACTTTCACACCCATGTCAGCACCAAATGATGATAATGCATCTGCTCATTCTCAGGTAACTTTTCTTTCTTCTACTTGAGAATACAAATCTCATTCAAGATAAGCTGACATTTTTCTGAGTTTTATGTTTTTTTTTTCTTTTTTTTTTTGGGGATAGATTTTGCATGAGAATTGGGAATTTAGGGTGATAGCCTCCCAAATCCTGGTTTTAGTTTGATGATACCTAGTTTAGAACAATAGGTCAGGAGTGAAACTCTGCTCAGTGACTGGCTATACACATGGAAAACATGCAGATGAAGAGCCACCGTTCTCTAAGTTACACCGAGGAGATCTTTTTTGAAACACAATAAAGAAAGAGAAGATGGAAGGAGAGAAACTTCTACTCATATATATTATAAGAATCCATTCTTTAGATTGTTTTCCCCACCCCTCTTTCTGGATCTCACTCCATTTTCACTTCCTGGACACCTATGATAATGAGTTGGATGGTTGAATAGATCTCCTAGGCTGTAGTTAACCCATGAAATTGCATTGCAGGTTTCCAGTTCACGTGACATTTCATGAGGATTCTACTAACAGGGTGGATGGATTGCTTCAATCTTATCAATCTTTTCATTCTTAATTTAATATATTTTTTTTTCCTGTTTAAATTCTTCTTCATTCAGTAGATCTAAATGTGAAATTGTATATGGTTTAATTATTATGTCTTATACTTGTCAAAAAAAAAAAAAGAAATTATGACCTATATGTGCATATATCTACTTATTTTGTCATTCTTTCTTATAATGTTCTGTACATGGATAGTTTGAGCCTTATTGATATATGACTAACTACTTAGTTCCTTCCTGAACCATTGCTCACTCTTTGTAAGATACACCTGGATGCATAGTCTTACAGCTTACAGAAGATGGTATTACTAAGTTCACATCTTCATGTTTTTTTTTTTGTTCTTGTCTGTGTATGCAGTTATCATCTCATTTTTTTGCGGGCCTTCTTGACTCCATAATTGTAGATGTTGCATCTGAATGCCACCGAATAGCTAGACTAGGCCTTGATCGTAATTTGGAAGAAGAGGAGGAAGAACTCAGGCTGTCAGCACAGGCTAGGGTGACAGTATCTGATCCTAGTAATAGTGGTGAAGCAAACAATAAGCATGTAGTTGACATATTTGGACAAACTCACCCTGCTATTGCCAATGAAATATTTGAATGCATGAACTGTGGGCAGTCAATCATGGCTGGAAGATTTGCTCCACATTTGGAGAAGTGCATGGGGAAGGTTGGTTTTTAGATATCTTATTCCTTGCTGATATTGTTGTATTGATCACCATGTTAAATATGATGGACTGTTCAATAATAGGTCAAACTAATCAAGTTGTTGAAAACCACTTGCATTAGATCCAATGTGAATTCAATAAATAAGCTTTTCTTTTGTTTTTTTTTTCCTTTTCCTTTCTGTGGCTTTACTGATAATTAGAAAATCAGCTATTTATAAGATGGCTGGGATCTTTAACCGTTGTGATCTTTTCAGACATGATTCTAGATGTAAGACATAAATTTGATGTTCCAGATTAAACCACATATACACATCATAAGCACAAAATGGTAATTGGGGATCTCTTTGATGCAAATGTGATGTGCCATATTCTTGTGTGGAACGATAAATGAGGTTTCCATCCTATGAAGAACGTGTTCACAGTTTCACGAGAAAACAATGAAATGCTTAGCATTTACAAACATTCTTTTCTAAGAAGCTGGAGCTCTCTGTTACGTATCTATTCTGGTCAATGTTTTAAAACGTGGAGGTGTGACGCGAGGCGTTCCACTACCTAGAGGCGTGAGGCGTAATTCAGGAGGCAAGAGGTGTAAGCCTCCCGAGCACAAGGAGGTGTAAGCCTCCTTAAGAGGAGGAGGGGTTAGGAGGAAGGGGGGGATCTCATTTTTCCTTTATTTTTAATAAAAATCTTTTATATTAAGAAGAATAAAGATGCATAACATTAGTTGAAAGGGGAGTAAGCCACTTTCTTTCTCCTTATCTTTTCTTCCCTTCCCTTCCCTTTCCTTTTCTTTTCTTTTCTTTCCTTTTCTCTTTTTTTTTTTCTTCTCTTTCTTTTTCTTCCCCTTCCATTTCTTTTCTTTTCCTTTCCTTTCCTTTCCATTCCTTTTTTCCTTTTTTCTTTTTTTTTTTGGTCCTTTTATATAAGATGTGCATGAGGCGCATGAGGCGTGCGCCTCCAGGCCTTTTAAAACACTGATTCTAATCAATATGGTTCTAGTATGTTCAAGTGTTCACAGAATGAATGAACCAAGCATGATTGATTGTACAAGACATGATTTCTTTCATTTTCTAGGTGTTTTGAAGCCAGTTAATTACTATGTTGGTCATATTTGTTTTCCAGGGTCGAAAGGCTCGCCTCAAGTCAACAAGAAGTAGCAAAGCTGTACAGAACCGGTATTCACAGGGCAGCCCAATTTCTACCTACTCTCCCTACTCCAATTCCAATAATATGTATCGGATTGCAAATGGAACATCTGGTCCTACAGGTGAGGAGTATGCTGATGGCACCTTAGAAGAGAAGTGACATCCTAAGCAATTGGTCTTCTCTGGGCTTCCATGAAAAATGGTCAACAGAATTACTTAGTCGTGAGGGAACACTGAGTCACCGACTACATTTTTATGATGACTTATGCTGTGCACTTGTGGGAAATGGAGAAGTAACTAGATCAGTGTGTTCTTGACTTCATGTCTAAGTATTGGAGATCCATAATCTATTCCCCCGATAATATTCTCAACCTGATAAATAGCATGACATCCCTTCCATCAACCTTAGCATTGAAATGTGATGAATAATACTTTCCTAATTCATGGAATCAATTATGGGCATATTATGGTAGTTGATGCAACCTTTCATCTTACATTTCAAGAAGATATGTTTTTGTTTATTTGCTATATAGATTAATTGATTGAGTGTTTTGTAATATGAGTAACACGTCAAGACCTAATTTAAACCAGACATCACAGGTGCCTTTTCTATCAGCTTAAATGGATAACCACATGGTGATAATTTCTACCATCCATTAGTTGTTCACTCGGTTCAGTTTAATTGAGTCTTAGACAATTGTTTAGAGGATTATATAATCTGTAAGCTTGTAGGGTTTTTCATTCTTTCTCTCTTAGTAGCACCAAGCCATCCTGGCCTTTTGAGCTTAATTCTTTTAATTTATGTTTTTGCTTTTTTGAATCAAGTTTTGATTAAAAAGCTTAGGCCATTCTATTGTTTTACAATATGACCCAAATAAAATCCTTCAGCTTGATTCTCCTGTTTGTACATGGGGCCTTTTTGCACTTATTTTCATACTTTCTAATGAATATTGGATAATTTTCTCTCTCACAGAGGGTCATTACCCAATGTTGGTTCCTTTTCTAATCCATGTCAGCTGAGATTTTACCATTGCACCAAGCAGAAAGACCTATGGAAGGGGAAGTCTCTTTCTTCCAATCATCCTTGCATGACTGTTTATATAATAGCTACCTGGGTTTTAAGAGAGATTCTAGAAATGTAGAATGTGAATAAATGATTTCGTTCCCCCCCCCCCCCTCTCTCTCTCTCTCTCTCTCTCAAGATGTAATGTATAGGGAGAATGGTCCCTCTTCCTCGTAAAAAATAAAGTCTATAAATTTACTTTTTACTTTTAAGCGAGTGGATATTCTTTTCTAGTCTTTGTAGTATTTTTTGAAGTTTTACTTATTACTTTATTTTCTTGTTACCTACATCTCAGAAAAAAGAACAAACGGAGGAAAAGAAAGAAAAGAAAAGAGATGAATCTTTTTGATGGGGAATTGGTGAATCATCTTTTCCCTGGCTTTTTCTCTTTATCTTGGCATTGAACCACTTTGGTTCTGTAACTGGTAGGAAATTCTCTTCCAGGAAAGATGTATGGGGTTAGTGTGCTGTTCTAAGTAATAGGGTAAGACCACATGTACAAATGCAACCATATATGTACAATTATTAATTAATTAAGTAATTACTAATATTTTTATTATTTTATAGTTTATTGTTAATTATTAATTATTAATTGTTAATATTTATTATTTAATGTTATAATTCATTATTTAATATTTATCATGGATTAATTAATAATTTTTATTTTGTATTATTAATTATTTCAATAATAAAATATTTTTATTAATTTTTATTTTGTATTACTAATTAGTTAACACATTGTTTATTTATTTTTAATTAAATTAATGATAACATAATTTTTAATTTTTATTAGTTTATATTTTATTAATTCTTATGAATTAATAATAATCTATATTTTATTAATAATTAATAATTAATTAAGTTATTCTTAATTGATTAATATTTTTATTAATTACTTCTTTTCATTTATTTATCAATTAACTTTAATTAAATTATTTTTGTTAATATGAAATAATTAATAATTTATTAATTGGTCATGGCTCTATTGAAAGAAGGTGTCTTCCATTAGACAAGTTCCCCGCCCCCTCTCTTTCCGAGTTGTTTCATACCAAAATGGTGGGGTTCTATCAGTTCGGATCTCCTACCCATAAGAACCCTACCTACACCTACCCATGCTTCACTATAGCTGTACATTGAGAGAATCTCCAATATTTTCATGTTACCATTCATGGGGAGATGTTCTCAATGTATGATTATAGTGTCATGTGGGTAGTGTAAGTGAGTTGGTAAGGCTAAGCGTGGTGGTTTCCTTGAAGGATGAAGAAAGGTTAGGAGTCTCGAGTAATAAGGGTAGGCCAGGATCTTCTATTGATAGAATCGTGTTTTTGTTATGACTTACGTTCCCTTTTATAAGGGGAGATCCCGAGGCCTTGAAGGGAATGAGCCAAAAGGGATTTGAATCCTATTTGGAAAGGGGATCCTCGATTCAATATCATTCGATAGGAGGGCATTGTTGGGGGTTTGCCACATGTCACACGAGATCTTTCTGGGACAAAATTTCCTTTTGTCTAAGGATTCTCCTATTGCACGTGGGCTACTTCCTTCCACGGGTCCCCTCTATTGGTGTGGCATGGGTGACATCAGACTTAGTCTAACATGTTGGCCTGCTTGCTCTGTCATCAGTTGGTTGTTCTATTGTGAATAGTCTTTGGCTTGTTGTAAATGCACGTCGATTCTTAAGTGTATCGTAGGTCCATGATGTTCTTGAGCTCATCGCAGGTTCGTGACGAGTTATAGACTCATCGAGGATCAGTGTTGGCTTGCGTGTCACCATGGGTGCTTTCTATGGTTCCAATTTGGTACCTTTATTGCAATCGTAGTTGTAGTGAACAACATGTACTTACAATTAGCCCCCCTGCTTATTGTGTAAGCTTATCAATAAGCATTTGTGTCGTTGATGCATTTTAAAAGGCAACAATGGGGTGAGAAATTTGTTTTGAATTTAGGGGAGATGAGGGGCATTTTGGTTAACCCACTTGATGATGGGCACGTGGACGTTGTCTGTGACGCAGCGTCCCACTCAGCAAGACAGCTCGCCGACTCGAAATGCAGCAGCCAATATTAGGTACGAAGCCGAGCTAGAGCAAGCTCGACCCACAACGTCCGACACAACAAAACAGCTCGCTAGAGTAACATGTGGCAATCAACATCAGATATGCGGCCGAGTTAGGGAGAGCTTGATCCTCCGTCAGCCCCCAACTCGCTCAAAACAACCCTGCAAACAATGCCCATGCAAACGCTATAATCGTAGCATAGAAAATGATCCATTGAGTTGACCGCCCCTAGACCAACAGGCGACCTATAACCGCTACATGGATCTAGCAAACAACTGACCAATACACCCTAAGATTTCGGAAACAGCTCAGTACAAGGCTTAAAGACATTACCAGACAACACTTGAACCTCGGGTAGCTATAAAAAGACCTTAGGACCACTCCAAAAGGTATGCACACATAAACTCTCACTCTCTCATATCCTCTCTCACAAAGGATCATTCACTAACATAAGCATCGGAGTGTCCCCCTAGGTAAAAATATACCCAAGCACTCTAACCTCTCTTCCTTTTCAGCTCTCGCTCGGACCCCCAACTTGGCCTCATAGCTCGACACTGTAGCTTGACTCACACCACAAGTTGAACCCGATCTGAGCCATCTCATCAGACCTGAGGGAGTGAATAGATTTTGTGCCTCATCTATTGGTGGGACCATTTTTGGCTTCATCAAGGGGGTTTTGGTATAATGCAATTGTGAGTTCGAGGTTTTTAGCATTGATACGATTGGTTTGTTTTCGCTTTGAGGTCTGACTCGGCTCTTTCATTATTAGCCCCCTTGTTTCTTGGCCGAAAGTCTTTTGTCAAAAGTTATAAGTGTCATTACTTCTTGTTTTGCAGCACCCCATGACTTTTGACAAAGGAATTCCTAGCAAGAAACACGTATTTACTTCTGTGCGGTGGGAGTCTTTCAGTTTTAAAGATGGTACATTGTGGTGATACATTTTTCTTTGGCGACGCGATAGCCCCCTAATGTTTTGGTAGTGGGATGTCTATGTCAATATTATTCTTAGTGGAGTTCTGCATAGTGTAAGGTATCTCCCATGTTTTGTTTACATTGTATATGTATGTAAGTATTTTGTTGTGTTTGGTGTTGAATTCTACTGTTAGACTGAGTTCTGATAATAAAACACTGATTGGCTGGTAGGGTGTGTTGGATGATGTAGTGTCTAATCATCGTTTAAGCTATGGGTACGAACGTTCGGTAGTTACATTTGAATCATAGCGATTTTAAGTCGCTTCCATTTTATTTGGGATGTCGACATGACAATACGTCTCCCAATGGAAAGGTGACGGGTAATCCGGGCAGCCATCACTTTTCTACGATGCCGTTTCAATTCCAGATAGTTTCCAAATCATCTTTAAAAGCAGGATGAGGGATGGTCTACTCTCATTTGTTTTCATCTAAGTTGTTCTTTCATTGTTGCAACTGCTTTGTGACTCCATTCCTCTTCTTCTTGTTGTGTTTTTTCTTTGGGGTTGTTGCTTTTTTTTTGTATTCGATGGCACCAAGCAAGAAGTCTAAGGGTTCTTGCAAAGGTGGGAAGTCCCGTGCATGAGAAGAAGTGGCTAAGGAAATTTGTTCATTCCTGGACTTCATCCAGGATGTAGATACAATGGAGTTGCTCTTTAACTATGAGTCTACAAGGGTGGCTGACTCAGGGAAGGGGTTTTAGCCTCCGGTGCCTGTGGCGATGGGTAAGGGCAACACCTTCGACATTGTTGAAGGTAAAGAGCTTCTTTGTTTGTATGGGAGACAGGTGTGCAAAGTTGTCTATCGCTACACAGAGCCTAGGATTGTGGGCTCTGAAGGCTCCACCAATTATACTTCATGGGCATTGTTTATCTTGGAGAACCCTATGTATTGCAAGCTACTACATGATGCAAGTTTGTTGATGTTTGTGGAATACTTCATTGGTCTTCGAGGGGATGACAGTGTAAATTTCATGGAACTGTTGGTGGCACATTGGTGTTGCCATACCCACACCTTTGTTGGTGCATCCAGAGAATTTGGTGTTACGGTAGAGGAGGTCGTGGCTTTACTATCATTGCCATTGGTCGGTACTATATCAACGCATCATCTCCAGCACTCAGAAAGTATCCTTGGGGAATTAGTTCCAGTGCATGAAGAATTGGTGGCCGAGATAGATCAATTTAAGTTGAAGATGGACTCTACTTTTGCTCAAGGCAAGATAATGCTTGACGGGTGGATGAAGTATTGGTTCGAGTATCATGGTGGTAGTA